TCTTCTAGTCCACAACCATTTTCTTCCCGTTTAAGCACATGATTATGTTTCTCCACATTATCAATATCCTGAGCAATTTCTAGTGTTTCCATATCATCAATAACCTTCAACTCTTGCATTTCAACTTTTCTCTCATCTTCTGTTGGTTTCTCTGTCTCTTTCAAGTTACTTTCACATGCTTCTAGTTCACCGGACATTTTATTTTCAGTTTCTTCCCACAGTTCAGAAAATCCTAGTTTAGTTTCATCTTCTTTCTGATCATGAAACTCTACATCTAACTTCTTTTTATTCAGACATTCATCCTTATCACATAACTCTTTTGATGCATCTAGTTTCCTCTCAACCTCCTGTTTAGGAACCTCCTCAACAGCTTCTAATTTCTCACCATATTTTTCTGAGTTTTCAACGATTTTCTTCTCTTCTCCTTCATATTCATTCAGTGCCTGCATCACTTCCTTTTCTCTTTCTCCCTGTTTTGCTGCTTCCCATTTTTCTGCTTCTTCATGCCCACAATCAGCTTGTGGTGATTTGAAATTCTTTGCACATGTTCCTCCTGCAGCTTCTCTGGCAGTGCAAATTTTGTCACTGTCATCTGATTCAGCTGCCACTTGGCCAACTTTTATCACATTTTGCTTTCTTACTTCAGCAGAAGTTTGCACAGAAGCATCTATCTTTTCACATGTCTCCTGAGCCTTATCTTGCATGATATTATTTTCTTTGACAGTATCTTTACTTTTCTTTCTCTCCTCAGCTTTCAAAACACCGTTAAAGCTTGGTTTTGTACGATTTACATGAGCTCCTTTTCTTCTTTCCATCAATTCTTTAGCAATTTTTAACCTGGCTTGAGCCTCCTCTATTGCCTTCTTGACTGCAGCTGCAGAAGTAGCAGCAACTGAATTTGCATCCACTTCATCATCCAAGTAAGGTGGGGAAGAGACACCTACATCACCATCTAAAGCATACCTCCTAAAAACCCCAAACTTCATGGAATCACGCTTATTACCACCCATGTTATTCAACATGCTTGATGTGCAAGGAACTTTCGGAGGTGTTCTATGGCCAACATCATAAGAACCAAATAATGCATCATTAAAATCAGATCCATTACTTCCAGATTTGCTGCGCAATTCTTCAACAATTGTCGAAGTCTGTTTACTACTGGACACCGGCTTCTTATGCATGCCTTCCACTGTCCCCTCACTGGAATTGCTGGTCTTATGTGTCTCATTTACAACTAAGGAATCTGGCTTGTCCCTTGATGAAGTGATTTTTTCATCAACTAAACGTGTATAACCAGGAACAGCATGAAGCTGCGCTACATGTGTTGTTCCATTTGGCCCATTCTTGCTTCCAGGGCTGATTTTATTATATGACATTTTGAACTGCTTCACACCATTACCGGATTCGTGGGAGGTTTGATCATTCGACCCCACCGGAATATTCAAAGGATATGAGAATGACCCTTCTGAATACGAGCGCGTCTTAGCTGGAGTCCTACAAAATCAATTAACTCAGGCTCAATCTTTCCATATATAAAAGTTAAAAATATTTAGTACTTTCCAAAAAATTCAACATTCAACAATCTCGACTCTTGGCAAGGTCTTAAATAAAACTTCTTCTGAAAATACAAGGCCAAAGTACCAATGCAGCCCTTCTCAATCATCTAAGCTACTAACGAACAGTTTAAACAAAAAGGGTGTCTTTGGACTTTGGAGAGCCATGAAAGTTCTCACCTTTGCATAAAAATGTAAACTTCTTTCTACATCCAAACACGCCCTAACACCTTGTTTAACTATCTAACCATCTCAATCCTCAAATTAACAGAATAAACAGAAAAGAAAAAAATCTTACTTTTTAGCTCTTGTTGGCTTAGCAATGAATTCCTCATGAGAAACAGCATAATCGAAGTCTCCAAAACCGCCAAAAATGTTGGAATAATCAAGCTTCGAGCTCGAAACATCGACCGAGAACTTCCTCTCATGCAGCTCAGGGACATCAAGAACCGGAATCGAAGAGCCGGAACCACTACCAAATATCTCGGCGTAATCTTCAACACTCGATCCTACCTTACTTTGACCACTGAAAACGCCGTCGTACATGTTTTTACCGTTGAAGCTGTGACCATTGCTCAGTTTCTTAGAAAAAGCCGTAGCAGCCGAAGCTCTCTGGTATTCCATTGAAATGAGATAAAAAACAAAAGAAAATCCTTAGGGTTTGCTTTTCAGAGTTCAATTATAATTTTTCTCTTGTTCCTGTTTCTCTGCAGGGCAAAAAAATGGTCTGCAGAGTTCAAGTCATGGGGAGAAGAAGACAAGGAAAGGGACGAGAAAATGAAAAGAGTTTTTGATTGGGACGAGAAAACAAGGAGAAGAAGAAAGAAAAGAAAAATTACTAATAAATGGAGCATATTTGTCAGTGTACGGCATCAAGGAAAGGGACAGGAAGGGGTGGAGAGGGGATGGTTGAAGAAAAGGAGGGAAAAGCGCGTCAAGTGACCGGCAAAAGCCGGTGAATCGTTGGTTTGTGTGAGGGGTGAGTTTGGCATTTGGCTGTCACTTTATCGATAATCAATTTTTAGTTTTGTCTGTTGTCGGTTTTTACTAGAATGTCTTCTTTCCATGTCTTCCAACCTGTCACCAATCATCGACGCCGACGCGGTGGTCAATGAAGGGTACTTTCGGGTATTTACAATTTTCATATATTTTTATATTGAAATTAATAAAATTACACATACAAAAAAAAAAGTAAGGAAATATATTGGTTATATGATTGAGCATTAATATTAAAAGAAAGCAAATTTATTTGACAAGCCAATGCTCAATAATTAGAAACAAAGAATCCCTTTGATTCACATGGTAACATGAGAGAGGGATGGGACTGTGCGTTGGGGGGCAGAGGAATTCTTGGGACCCAACCCCATTCCTAGCCAGTCCTAAGTCCCAGTCCCCCACCAGGGTTGGAGGAGTACCGAGTAGGTGAGTTTTCCATTCCAGGCAGAAATTGGTTTTGAACGTGGTCCTGATATTTTTGTATGAAACAAACATTCAACAGCTCCTTGTCATGACATTTTGGTAGACTCAAAATCTCTGGTCGTAGTACAATGTTTGGTGCATCTTTCTCTTTCTTTATAATGATCTCCAGCTTCCACATTGCTGGCTCCAGATGTGAAGTTACTGCCAAAATGTTGTGTGAAAGCTTATGAAAGTTTTAGCCATCATTTCCAAGAGGATAATGGCTTTGTGACAAGCCAACAATTGTCCCCATTGAAGTAGTAAAAACGGCAGGGAGGCTAGTGATTGTCAAAGTGGATTATCTTTAAAGGGTTAAGAATCTGTTTGAACGTTTGGCCTGTGGGGGGAGAGGGACCTGTTTTCAATAATTTTGAAGTAAAAAGAATCAAATTATGCATTGCTTTTCCCTGTTCTTATCATTTGGGTCTTTATGACTCGTCCGAGTTTAGGATGTTTAAGCTTTCTTTTGGCGATGATGACCCACTGAATGATGGGTGTCTCTCCTTTTCATAAGCTTCTGCCACAGTTCCTTCTTCCTCATTATCCAACTATAACCAAAGGGTAAAGTGGCTTTTAAAAAAGGACCAAGTCCTGGAGGTTGGTTTTCCAGGAACTCCTTGGAGATGGAAAAAGAAAATAATTTGGGCTTTCCATTATTCTCCTCCTATATCTTTTACTTCTTTTTTCTTTCTGTCAGTACTTTCCCCAAAGGTGATCCAGGAGATCCTGGCCTTAACCCAAAGGCAATCTTGGGTGGATGGGACATGCATTGAAGATGGAAACCAATTCTTAATGTCACCCCATTTTTGGGTTTTCCCAATGTACTACAACAAAATCTAGATCAAAATTCTGGCAGGCTGATGCATTCAAAAATGGGAAGAGAAAAGGATGGAAGAACTATTTCAAGCAATTATTAGGGTTATTCTAATTACATTTACGATAATTATTACTAACATGAATCTTAACAAGTTTAAACCAGAAAAGGGAATCACGAGAACATGGACCTTAACAAGCTCAAACAAAAGAAAAGAAAAGCAATCTTTTGTGATCTAAGGCCTGGGGAATCTGAGAAAGTGAAATACTTTATGAATTATGATTCAAGGGAGACTCATATTCGTGAAAGCAATGAAAGCCCATTTGATCTAAACACCAAGTGAATCTGCCAGTATCATAAAGAATTCAGAATCCAAAGCATAAAGCAGAAGCCAGTGATTACTTTGGCTCTGCTTTTGGTCTTAACTACTAATTCCTCAACCCAGTGACTACCAACTCAGCCATTTTGGCCCCTTTAACCACCAAACTAAGTAGTATTACTTTCTCATCTATTGTCAAAACTTGTAAAATTCAAATTCATTCAAGATTATTATCATGGAGACATTACTACTAAAAAGGACACTTGTAATAATTTTTATCAAAATTTTCATACCCAGGCAAGTAAGTACTAGGATGAGAAGGGATACTTTATAGTTAGATATCCTGCATTATCCAATTCAATAAAATAAGATTAAAATATTCAATAATTAGATACAAAAATAGATGTAAATAATAAAACTATCACTCGTCTAGTAAAAATTATAAGATATTCGAATTTAATTGTAAATCATAATTTATAATATTAATTTTTAATTCAATAAATCATTTTTAATTAATGTAATACTTATTAAAATTTAATGTATTATTAAGCTCGGGTTTTGATTTGAATACTTCCAGTTCAATGCTATTAATTAATGAATTGGTTTTATTAAAAACAAAAGTATTATGAATTTGGAATTTTGTCTCAAAAACGGGCGACTTCTAGCCCAATAATTTCAGGCCCATTTAACAAATATTAGAACCCATCGGGCCATTTACTTATTCAGCGATCCAAAAACTCTAGGCCTGTCAGCCCATTTGTACCAAAACCTACAGGCCAGTGGGCCCATTTACTTGTCGGGTGACCCAAGCCGGATAAAACTATATCGGGGCAGAACCGAATCAACAAAGGGGCCTTTGTTTTTTTCTGGGGGTGTTTTCTTTTCTCTCTCTGTCTTGAAGAAGAAGAAAAGAAGAAAAACCCTCTTAAATACTTCACTCCAGGGAGAAGGAAAAGCAAGATTTTTCAGTCCAAGGAAACCAGCAATTGGAACCGTGCCGTAGTGGAAAATGTTTAGGAACCAGTACGATACCGATGTGACGACATGGAGCCCTGCAGGGCGGTTGTTCCAAGTGGAGTACGCGATGGAGGCTGTGAAGCAGGGTTCGGCGGCGATCGGTCTCCGATCCAAGACCCATGTGGTCTTGGGTTGCGTCAACAAGGCTAACTCCGAGTTGTCTTCTCACCAGAAGAAGATCTTCAAAGTCGACGACCACATCGGCGTCGCGATCGCCGGTCTCACTGCCGACGGACGCGTCCTATCTCGGTATATGCGAAACGAGTGTATCAACTACAGCTTCACGTACGAGTCGCCGCTTCCAGTGGGGAGACTCGTCGTCCAGCTCGCCGATAAAGCCCAGGTCTTTCTTCATTTCTTAAAATCTCCAATTTTTAAATTTTTTTCTTAAAAAATAGTGTAATTTAATTGAAGGGAGATGGCGGCTTTTGGGTTTTTTCGAGAAATGGGAAATTGTTTATGGTTTTAAACCCTAATTGGGTCTTTGCTGAAGTCTTGACGAGTATGAGGATTTCGAGCAATGCTTTGAAACGAATAATCTGCAAGATTGAAGCATAAAATGGTTAGTGACTTAACCAGAATAGTGTTCTATATGAAAATGAGCTCATATTTAAGGCTGTTGTGTTGGAAACATTGATAGATCAGGTATTGTGGAAACTGTAAGTAAATAGCATTACCCTTTTGCATTATTGCTGAAGTCGTCAACGATTAACAATGTAAAATATATTTTACATCCGAACATTCTATCTGGAACAGAGGAAAGTGAAATGGATAATGAGGATTAATATGATGCAAATTAAAAAGGGTTACAATTGAGTGAATTTCCAGCTTATGGTTTCTATATTCCATTGGTGTGTTAGATTTACTTGGAAGTGTAAGGTAAGAGGTTGAGTGTATCCGGCATCAGACTAGGGAAACAATCTCATGTTTGCTTTTTGTTTGTGACCAAAAGCTTCAGGCTATAAAGCAGGCAATGGATTTTGTGATATAAAGAATGATTTTTGAAAAGAATGTTGGTGGCAAGGAGTGCCTCACAATGACCATTTTGTTACCTTGCTTAGGCTTCCATGAAGTGAATGATTGAGAGGATACTAAAATACAAGCTAAATGTATAAGGTTGGATGAGCTAGCGGTCTTTGGACCATACTTAAGGAGCTTGGCATACCTTTGTGTGCTCTGGTTTATTAGCTGTGCCAGTGTAAAGGGATCAAATGGCATTTGCCCAACTTTTTCATAATCCTTTGATATGGACTCTGCACATTTGTTGATGTAAGAGTTGAGGTTGTTAGTCTTACTGAATTAAGTGATGTCAAGTCTTTGAAGTTGGTTATAGTTAGTAACAATAAGTTTTGCTACGCCTTTGATGTTTATCTTTTGTTTCTTTTCCTTACTATTCTGTGCTTACCCATTTAATTTGCTGCTCAGATTTTGTATATTTCTCAAAAGAATTAGGGGCATGTTCTTTATTCAGATATGTTACATATTTGAAGGTCTGATATAGTTGTATATCATTTTCGGTATCAAGCATGATTTTAGATAAATCTTCTCTCTTTAATCTAGTGAGGCTTTTCTTTTAAATGAACCATGGTTGATGTAGGATTGCTAAAACTAGCATTTTCTTGTGGAACACCAAACCTACTGGATTTCTTTAAGATAAACTGTTTTACCACTAGTATAATAATATTATTTGTTTGTGCAATTGAAAATGGGAAAATGCTTGTGTTTTGGTTGCAGGTGTGCACCCAACGCTCTTGGAAACGACCTTATGGTGTTGGCCTGTTGGTGGCTGGCTTGGATGAATCTGGTGCTCATCTCTACTACAACTGCCCAAGTGGAAATTACTTTGAGTACCAAGCTTTTGCGATTGGATCCCGCTCACAAGCTGCAAAGACATACTTGGAACGCAGGTTTGAGAACTTTAAGGATTCCTCACGGGATGATCTGGTCAAGGATGCTCTTATGGCAATAAGGGAGACCTTGCAAGGAGAAACTTTCAAAAGCTCAATATGTACAGTTGCTGTGGTAGGGGTTGGGGAGCCATTCCATATTTTGGATCAGAATACTGTACAACAAATGATTGATGCCTTTGACATTGTGGGAGAGCAAGAAGACCCTGCTGCCGAACCTGATGCTGCTGCAGGACAGGAGGCTGCAGCTGAGCCAAGTGCTGCTGCTGATCAGGGCGGTTCTACTGATGAAGGTGTGGCCCCAATGGATATTTGACGATGAAAGAATCAACGTTCCATCCTTCTTTTTAGATGACGTTTTCTAGCATGTGTTTGCAGATTTGAGTTAGGCAATGGTAGACATTATTGTGTTGGATGTTTTTTCCTACTTTATTATGCAAATTATCTTTACCCTTGGTGCAAAGATGCAATGCTACCCTGAACTGAAACTTAAAACTACATTTACATTTATACTCAAGATCCAGTCATTGAAGTTGTTGACTTATTTAACTGTTACTGCGTTGACTTATGAAATTTGTTTAGTCTCTTGGAAGATTAAGGTGGAGTGGGTGGACATTTGGGATTGAGAATTTTGCATCAAGGGTGCATAGACACCCATAAACATAACGGTACATAATATATCCTTGTGGTGATAATGTCAGGTAATTTTGCGAGCTGAATTTCTTATTAGAAATGTTAACGAGTAAACTACTCATTATTTTTGAAGTACTTTACCTTGAATCCTATTCAATTATAGAGTTCTTTACCGTGAATCCTAACCTTATCAAGTAACAGTAGGAGCCATAGCTAATCAAAATCTGGCAACCTTTTGAATTTGGGCATCCACTCCAACGGGGAATTGCATGTTCAAGAAATTTCAGAACTAGTTTGGTAGTCTTTAAAATTCAGCACAAAATGACAAATTTTCTTTTATGACGCCATTTGATATATCAAGGAAGGTAAAGAATGAGGTAACAGAAGGCATTTGCCTCTGGTAGCACTCAATAGATGGATTGAAGTCCTTGCAAAGAAGTTTCTACAGAATAATTCACTAATATGACTGAACATTGCATATGTTAATGTTTCTGTTGAAAACGAGGAGTCGTGTGAACAAGTCAACCCAGCCCCAAAACGCAACTAAAGCTGCCCTTTTCTTCAGAAAAATAAATCTAAGCAAGGGAAGTGAAAGTAAATGCTTCTTTTGTTATGGAGACATCAGTTCCGAATATCAGGAAGCGAGAGGCCCTTAACCTGCATCTGCTTGTACATCCATTGCCAATTCTCTGGGGTTACCTCACCCCCAAGAGAACGAATCACTGAGCCACCACTACATGAGCCCACTTTGCAACATTCCTCGAGGGAGAATCCCTTGACCAATCCATATAAGAAACCGCCAGCAAACAGGTCCCCAGCTCCAGTGGCATCAACGGCTTTTGCCTCCCCTATAGCTGGAACTCGGACAATCTGGCACAGAAAGTTTAGGTGGCCTGTCATCAACTATGCATCATCTATGGACCAAAAGGAGGTGTGATAATGACATCCATAAAGGCAAAGGCCGGTTCATGCATCACAATTCAACAATGATATTTATGGAAAATGGCACAATTTGGCCAAACTTCCCAAGTTGAGAATGGTACATAAACACGTTAGACTAGGAGGGCATCCCTAAATGGAGGCATTGATAAGTTGAAACTATCTCAAACAGTAAGAATTTGTACCTAGTGAACCACAAATCAAATCGATAAGCACTGAAAAGTATGAAAAATGCCTATCAGTTTACAAGGTTGAAAGTGAACGACCTCTTTTCCATGTTTAGCGATGCATCCATTGGGCCCTAACGTAACTACAGCCCACCGGCAATATTTTGACAGATATTCCAATGCAGCTTCAGGATCAGCATTTTGCTCACCCCTAAAGGTGTAAAACAGAAAATAATATCAGCAGCTAGCAACAGCACCAATTTCTGAAATCTTGAAAGTCAGGAAGATGAACCCCCTCCATTAGTTATCAAAAAGAAACAGCCACCTTAGTAACTCTCTAGCTTCATCCTCATTGGCAAAGCAGAGGTCTATATCCCCTGACTCCAGTAATTGTAGAAGAGGTTCTCTAAAATTACGAACCATCTGACCAAAGTTACAGACTTTGTAAGATAAAATATTCAGACCTGGAAATTTCGATATTAAAAAGCACAAAAATGGGGAATCAAGGAGTAGTTAGATGCCAATCAGAGATGAAATACCTGCACTTTATCGACTATAAGTCTAAAAGTGTACCAGTATGATCATTTTCAAAATTTCTAAGAAAATAAACTGCTTTGAGTTACATATTAATCCAGGCTAGCTATTTCATTCTGTGCATAATATTGCTTTCAGCCTTAAACAGAACATAAAGTTATTCCAGCTACTAGAAAACCACACCTCAAAACTGGCCAAATCCAAGGAGACAGAAACACCCTCTTGTTTGGCAAATTGAATAGCTGCTTTAATAACTTCCAAATTGAATATCCCATATCTCAACACCAACCACTGCAATGAAAGATACATCATTAGGCTGAATGCTCTGCAGACATACCAGCTGCAAAGAGCTGAATATGTAACGTGGTCAAAAAGTGCAAATTTTATCCAACTATTTTCATAATTAATTAAAAAATCATGACAAAGGAATATCATAATCAGATAAAACGGCATCCAATAAAACAAGTCTCCTTCGTTTACAAAAGACAGGAAAAGAATTGGAAAAAAGTCCACAAACATATAATCCTTAAAAAAAACAAAAGTTCCATAAAATAAGCCTCACCTTAGAACCACTAAAATCCTCTTTGGTCAGTTCATCCGCCTGAAAAGAAAAGGTAAATAAAATTGCTTGTGAGTGAGCATCAGTAAGGAGCAAACATAAATCCTTAAAATAAAGAAAGAAGCAGCTTTAAACTAAATACGAAAAAAAGGGGGTATTGTGATATTCACCTGAACTTTTACAGCGGTTGATAGGCAAGGTCGCATTGTTCGATTGCCCAAAGCATCAACTAGGCAAACACACTGCATCATAGCATTCACTAAGAACATTTTAGCACTTACCATTTAAAGCACAATTCAATTTCATAGAAATTGTATCATGAAGATCACCTGAGCCGTAGGTCCATTCTTCTTTCTCAATCTTGAAATATTAACCCCACTAATGCTCATGTTACTTACAAACAATTGACCTTGCTCATCATCCCCAAAAGCCCCAATCATCCCGCAATTAACCCCGAAGCCAGAGCTAAGTCCTCTGATAGTATTTGCAACACTTCCCCCAGCCATCGTCTTCATAGGAGATAAATCATCAGCTGAAGCAAGGATGTGCTTTTTCAACTCGCTTAATATATGCTCAAGCTCCTCGATAGCCACCTACACAATTGATCAATTCCATTGTCCTTAAATAAGCACAGAACCTTGCTCGTCCCCAAGATATGTTCGATTATTCTCAAGCTCATCAAACAAGAAAACCGTTCTATCATTTTCAGTAAAAGGTTGAAAGCCATTATTTTTGAAAGGACAAGACTTGGGAAGAAAACAAGACAAGATTAAAAGGGTAGGAAACAAAAATGGAGCAAGTTTGGTACAAGAACAAAAAGTCCAAAATACCAAAAAAGAAACAGATAGAAAAGGCCAAGGACATTGGGATTCGAAATTCTAAAACATGAGAACAAGTAAAAAAACAGAGAATGTGGGAAGTTCAAAGCAAAATAAATCCTGTCTGCAAGCCAAAACGGCCAAAGAAATTACATTTACCGACAAAGCCCCCCCACCACATGCATCAACCAATAAAAAAATGCGAACACTTACTCTCAAACAAAAGAAAAAAAAATTATTTAAGCACTTTTTATGGTACACAGAACGCAGCGGAAAAGATGGAGGAGAAAAGCTTAATCAAGTTAACGGATTGGTAGGTAGTCTAGATGAGAAAAGCCCAGAAAGTATACCAATCGCAAAGGAGGTAAATTAGAGAAAATTAGCATAAACCCAGTAAGCACCATGCAGCAAATGATAGAAAAAAACCAAAAAGAACAAAATGTTGAAGATGGGAAATTACTAAGAAGGGAAGTTTAAGGAAGAAAAAAAAAAGGAAAACTACCGGAATAGAGCCACCACGTTCACCGGGAATTTGATCGAGCAAGGACAAATCAACACGAGCCACGTGGTCGATGAGGGAGGCTGGTTGGAGTCCAAGTATAACAGGAACCTTGGCCTCAAGCTGAACCCGAGCCTCCCCGTTCGTTAGCAAGGTTTCTGCTCCCATAGTTTTGGTGGTGGTGGCTTCCCCTCAAAATAATATTTCTATCCTCCCAGGACTCCTTTGCAGTGGTCTCTACTCTCTAGGAATTTTCTAAGTATTATATAGGCAGAGGGCTGAACATGCGTACACTGCACTGCAGCAGGTGGGAAGGTCCACGAGAGAGGCCGCTCTTCCGCTGCACCTGTTCAACGCCCTTTATTTATATACTTTATTTAATACGTAAAAGTTGGGCCTTTCGGCCCCTTGAATGGTGCGGATTCTGAATTGTGATTAGGGTAGCCCTAGAAGGGTAGGGAGGTTTTTCACTCACAACTTGTTCCTTGGGTCTGTCGGCTACTATCCCACGCGGGAAGTTTCGGAGCAGTTCGTTAGTTTCATTAAACTTGACTTATCAAGTTCCCAAGAAGTCGGTCCAATAATTTTGATCGACAGGGCGTGGAAAGTACCCCTTTTGTTGTTCAAAAGGAGTCTAAATGGGTTAGAATTGCGCAGCTTTACCTGAAGAAACGTTGCTATCCATTCTCAGAAACAATAATGACGAATTGCTGTCGATGATTAAAGCTTTGACGACTTTGTGGTCGGTTTGTCAAAGCAAGTCACTGGTTTACAGAATTTCATGGAAACTCAAGCACATGCTCGACCTTTCTGAAAGCAACTATGGATATTCTTGACGACCAACAACCTTAATCATCACAATACGTCTACTTATGTCTCAGACTCCATATATCAGATATCAGATATTATCGAAGTACTCAAAGAGATGATAAGGAGTTTTTGGTAGAAGTAATGTCATGAAGATGAACTGATAACCATAGTCTGGTTAAGCACAAAATATATTGGACCCTTTGTGAATTTTGGCTCAATGAGATGTGGACCTTGCAGCTTGCGCGTGGGTGGTGTGTCATTGCGGCTTGACCCTTGCTGTATCTTAAAATATATATACTTATTCGCATCAATTAAAAGAAAAAAAGTAAAAAACTATTTGCAAGGACAGAAACAAAAGTCGGGGGTTGAAGGGCTGAAGGACAAGGAAAGAATGGCCGTATACTTCCATTGCAGGCATCAAATATCCATGGTCCAATGATCACGCACCGAGCCGAAAGATATAACCATTTGAATATAGCTTTTCCTCTAGATTCTCGCTCAAAATATATCCCAGGCATGAGCCATGACCATGGTGCTTTCTTTTGATTTCTCTGCTTTGTCTGCTTTCCATCAGGGAGCTCCCTAGGTTAATCATTGGCGTCTGTTTACAGCTCCCTCGTGCAGTCTATTGACCAGTAGTGGTCACTTAAGCCTTATCCACTGCACTAATGATGCATAATTAAATAAACCATACTTAAAGTTCACGGTATAAAAATCTAAACTCGTCCTAAACCATCACCTGGACAGAAGTGCTTATGCTCAGCTCAGGTAAGAATTTTACTTTTTTCTGTAGAACATACGTAATGATGGGGCACAAACAATGGGAAAAGAACAGCACTTTACACGAATGTAAGGGAAAGAGCAAGATTACAAGAGAACCAAACAAAGGAAAGACAAATTGTAATGGAGATGTATCAGATTTTTGATGATTTGGAGGAGCGGCTGCTTTTTGTCGTGGCCAATCAGAAGCCAGCTGAATTTACGGGGAATTGTATGGTTGGCCTTTTGTTTTTAGATTCCCGAATCAGGTTTTAATTATTGCAGAAAAGATCGGATCATTAGCATTATTATATGAGTTATTAGTGCTTTAATAAACATTAAATGGGCTAAGCATTTTCGCAACGCGGCTAGAGTTACGTTGGCTAGGATTTCCGCACATGGGTTAGGTTCCGAATTGTTGAAAGAAATTGCGCTTTTGTCTCCAACTTCTCAATCTAGTTGTGAAGCATCACAGATTCTATGTCAAAGAGGTGCTACTCTTCATTAACACGAGAGCTGAGATTCCACGAGAGATACCCAATGTGAAATATTTTTAGACGTAAATACAATTTAAAGTATAATTTCTCTCCTATATAGATAAAAGAGCCTAACTGTATGAATATCACAATCGAAATAGACTCACATCCAGATACAATCTAAAATATGATTCCTTACTTTTGTAGATAAAAGAGTCCAATTAAATGAAATAGAATGTCCTGAATCTCAAGTAAGAAATTATTACCTTGAAAGAGCCACATCCTAACAGCGAAACCAAGGTGGACTACTCAAGCGGTCCTTTACCCCCCTGAGGCACAGGGAAGCACAGCCAAGCCAGTTGCTTTTATTTTAGCCCATTTTGAGAACTTCCAACCTCACTATCTGCAACCTGCCCATCAAGTCACAACCAGTCACGAGAGATTCCTTGGACTTACTAGCTTCGTGGTTTCGCAAAACAGAGCAATATGAAAGTTCCTCATTCAAACAATTGCTCTTGACGATGTACAGACATTGCTGCACCAACTTGCCACTTATGCAAACTGACACCAGCTATGGTATTTGCAATACTTATAAATGGTGGGAAATGACTTTAACAAGTACAAAATGACAATCATCATGAAAACAAGAATCTTAGGTACAAGGAACATTAGACATCAAAATACATTCTTCCTGTCATGGAAAGAGTCTGTGAGTAACCATATGAGGAGCTGAAAGCTAAAAATGAGCCATGTTTCTATCCTACAACATGCCCGGTATTATTGGGAAAGAAAATGATCCCTCCGCCATGTTCTTGCACATAACAACAAATATTCCTTGATGCCATATCTCAGGGGTTGAGGCAAACAAAAAAAATGACATGTGAAAAAGATCATTTTTCAGAAGACTTCTGTGCTTTATCTGGTAGGACGTTGTCTGGAAGAATTAGTTCTGGAGGAGTTTCACGTACAACGCCCAGCATTGAGTCATACTCTTCATCCCTACGAGCAAATTTCTTGCGGAGGACTTTCTCAAATTCAATTTCATCGAATGGCTTTGCATTCTCAGCTGCATGTACCTGTGCAAGGTTGGAATAATTGGTGGCTGACTGAGAAATAAACGCTATCTCCTCATCAGTTAGCTTCCTCAGGAACTTTGCTGGATTCCCACCCCATACCTGTTAAAAACCAACAAAGACAGAATACCAGCATCATCTAATCAGAGATAGTCAAGGATATTTCCATAAGAACAAATTCCAAGTAGGGTTCATAATGCACCTCCCCAGCAGGGATCCTTGTATTTTGTCTCACAAGGGCTCCAGCAGCAACCATAGCATGTTTCTCCACAACTACACCATCAAGAAGTGTTGCTCCCATGCCAACAAATGCTTCATCCTCAACGGTACAGCCATGTAAAACAGCACTATGACCTGCTCATTTCAAAATTTCAATCATAGCCTGTAAATGGAAGGAACTTTTATCAGGTTAATTCAACTGAAATTTATGGCCAATGCCATTACACTCACCGACTGTAACATTGTCTCCAATAATAGTTGGTAGCACTTTCCCACTTAGATTAGACTTTGCCACATGCACAAGGGAGTTGTCTTGTATATTAGTTCCAGATCCAACACTAATGCTGTTGACATCCCCTGTTGAAAGAAAAAATTAGGATGATAATTAGCAAAATCTAGTTAAATAAAATGTCAAAGAAACATCCTAAAACCTACACAACTACAATTTAAACTTGTTAAACAAATTCAGATGGACAAGAAACTTATAGCTTCCCGAACACAGGGTGGTTGAAAAGTGGAATATGCTGATCTCAGAACACTTTCTCTTCCTTGGACATGGTAATGAAGAGTCAATCAATTTTCCTATGCATTAATAAATATTACAAAAAAAGGGCATTTTTCTGTGATTTATTCAGGAGAGATGCCCTGGCATGTTTAATGCCTCAATTTATGAGGCAAGAAATTAATTATGTGAAATACCTATGAAGTAGAATCCAAATATTACTATCTTCATGGTATAAATACAGAGCTTCATTTTATAGTTCAAGAGAAGAATGATAAATACTAATAACATAGGTCTGCTCTGCAGGAGAATGGAGAATAAGTTTACCATATTTATTTTGGTCATACTTAAGTTTTAAGAAGTAAGTGGAGTTGGGTAGGACATGAATCAGGTGGAGGATAAGGTGCAAGATACATGCATCTTGCTTGTGAATCAATACATTGTTTAGGCAAGCTACAAAGTTAATTGAATAGTATGCAGATCAGGCAGACAATATCCTACATCATCAAGAGAAAATAAACTAAACATAATACCAACAATTAAAAGTTGAAACTGATAGGTAGAATTACAAGCCACATTTCTCTAAGCCAATAGTTAAAGTTGAAACAAGGTACATCCCTCATTACCACAAGCCATATTCCTCTATACCAAAGTGATGAACATCCAACATTTGCTAAAGTTAAAAGATTCTGACGTGCCGTAATAATCAACTAAAGTCAACTATCTTTATTCAACATAGTACTTCAAAATAAAACACTCTGAGTAAAAGCCACTACAAGTATTACCATTAATATTACCTATCTGTTCGTTATGTCCAAATCTAAAAGTTAATTAGCATAACACCAAACCTTTTATATGCTAACTCATAGACATGAAGTTTGACACTGTCCTTTCTTAAGTTAGACTTATACAATTCTGTCATCAAATAAAAGTGCCAGATTTTGTACAAACAAGGAGTCAAGGATCTTACCCCTTAAAACAGATCCATACCAAATAGATGATCCTCTTCCCACCTGAACATCACCAATGACGGATGCGCTAGGGGCAACAAATGCATCCTTGTCAACCACAGGAGCTTTATCAAATATGTTCATCAGAGTCCGATGCCTAGACACTAAGAAAAGAATAATACCATATGCGCATAGTCAGGTAACAGAAAAGCAACATAACCAAAAATCCTATCTTTGAAATACAAACCACAATCGCGACATATAAAAGTAAAATGCAGCCCCATTTCCACATAAACTTAGCAAGTAAACAAGCAATTAACCAGTATAACCTAAACAAGGTCATTATAGAAATTTTTAGGAGGGAAATAACTGTCAGCTTATCTTTCATAACTACAAATTACGTTATTATACAGAGCCAGCTAATAGTTTAACGACAGCATCAAAGAAAACTATAAGCTTAAAACGAAAGAAATTGAAAAATTACAATACAAATTAGTATTTGCTATCAAATCTGCAGAAAATCCCTAGCATTAGCAGAGCTTAGCTTTGGCAACATAATTTGAAGAGGAAAAAAGAGAAGCTGAGAAATGGATTAAAAAAAACTCACTTTGCTCTTGGAACAAGTAGCTGCCTTGGAGGCGGCAGCCGAGGCGATCGAGCGCCTGGCCGGTCTCCCGAATCCAGAATCCAACGGTGTATACAGCTTTCCCTAGGGTTCCCATCTTCAGCCTCCTTTGGGAAAAACTTTTGATCGGTTAATTCCTTTTTCCTTTCGAGTTCCCAGGTGCGTGTGATTGGGAAACAAAGCTCGAAATGGAGGAAATGAAGCTCCAGTGGTAGGGTAGAATATACTGGGCCTTCCTGAGGGCAAATTTGGGTTTCCACAACTGAGTCTGAAATTTATTGATGGGTTTTAATTGGGCTAAAACAATTGGCCCATAACCATTTAAGGTAGCTTTCTATTTTGTGGCCCAATTAATTTTTTTGTGTGAATTTATTGTTATTAATTAATCAGAAGTTATATCCTCTATCTCATTTTTTTTCTTTTTATAAATTTAAATCCTTTAAATTCTATTTTGATTTTAAAAAGGTTTACCCTTTTCCATCTTAATTTTTACATTATATACATTCAATACATAAAGACTAATAACTAAGTTTGGGTTTCCAACTTATTTAACTACTTTGGGAATCAATATTTTCCAAATTTACAATTTATTTGTTTAACTTATCGTAATTACATGTTAAATTAAAAATGATAAATATTTTCTAAACTAAATGAGCCCTAGATTTTATAAATAAGTTCTTAATTAAACATTAAAATATTTGATAATCATAGGAAATTATTAAGGTTCGAGGTTTTTATAATTCTTAGTAATTTGATTGGGATAAAAACAGAATAAAAGAAGAACTTGAAATTCGATAGAAAAATAAAAAAAATTTCATTGTATAAAAAAAATTAAAAAAACTTTTTTCGTATAATCATTTATACATCAACAATTTAAACTTTTCAAGAAGATTTTTTTATTAAAAAATTTTTGGTTCAAGAAATTATTATCTGATTACCAAACGGAGCTTCCGTTTTCTTCCCTTTCTATATGGCAAAATAGAAAATTTAGTGTTAATTTTTTTTAAGCAAACAAATAAGCACGTTGAAAAAAAAAATGATAAATCAAGCAAAACGTGGGTGAAGTGGGCATGTTTTAACCAAAACGTCGTCGTCACGATGATTTTGATGCATACGCGCGGCACAACCCCGTTTAACCGTAAACTGCCTGCAATTTTGTCTTTTTCTCGACTCTTATTTCCGTGAAAATCAGCAGATCCATAAAAAAAAACTTCTTACCATCATTAGATCTCTGTAATTAAACCCTAACTTCAACTTCAATCAAAGGTAATTCGTATTTGTCTTTCCTTTTTACTTGTTGTTTCCCTCACATTTTTAACATTTTGATTATAATTTTCCATTGAAACAGTAATTTTCCTATGTTTTTAATATTAATTTTCCAAATTATGATCCATAATTTGTTTCTTTTTTCTTAGGGATATTAGATTTTAGATTATATAATTAATTTCAAATGGAATCATTGGGGGACGACGCTGCCACGGCGGTGGCGCCGATAGCGAAGTGGAGGAACGATTTCTCGAGGACATTTCAGTACTATTTGGATCGTTCCACGCCACATCTCGCCGAAAGGTGGCTTGGAACTCTTGCCGTTGCAGCCATTTACGTTCTACGCGTTTACGTCCTGCAAGGCTTTTACATCGTATCCTATGGCCTCGGAATTTACATCTTGAATCTGTTAATTGGTTTCTTGTCGCCTAAGGTTGATCCTGAGCTCGAGGTTTTGGATGGAGCCTCATTGCCAACTAAAGACTCCGATGAATTCAAGCCTTTCATCCGCCGGCTTCCTGAGTTCAAGTTTTGGTAATTTAATGCATCCCGTTTTCCGATTTGGGAATTACTTTGTTTTGATCAATGAATTATCTTTGGTCGGTGTCTTGCATCGCCGGTTCTTAATCTATGATTTCATGTTGAATGTTCTGACATGCAAAATTCAATGGGGAGTTTGGGAGCATCTTATTTCTGCTATTAATATCAAATTCTTTGCAAGTTTCTGTTCTTGATGTGTGTAACTTGAAAGATGTTTTCGAAACTTGGTCGTTGTTGATTGATTACGGTCTTTCACAGTTATAAACTGAGACAGTTGGACCTTGGAGCAAGTATATTTATGTATACAGTGTCATAGGATCATGTTTTCTGCTAATGAAGATACCACCGGATTAGTTAATAACTGGTACTCAGATCATCATAATACTACAAATTGCATGAACATGTTTCAAGCTGAAGATGAAATGATGAATGCGTAAGATATGCATGTAATATGGGACGCAAGGAGACTTGATTTGGGTGATGAAAGGTTTACTGTTCAGAGCTCCCTAGATTTGCATCAAATTGTTCTGTGCATTGTCTGTTCGGTTTTTCGTTGGTCATGGAATTTCCCCTAGTTGTGCAGGCTCAAAGAGGACTTGCTTTTCTTTGGTTTTGTGGTTTTAGGTACTCCATTACAAAGGCTCTCTGCATGGCCTTTTTGATGACCTTCTTTTCTGTATTTGATGTTCCTGTATTTTGGCCCATATTACTCTGCTACTGGGTTGTTCTGTTTGTCCTCACGATGAAGCGTCAACTAATGCACATGATCAAGTATAAATACGTCCCGTTCAGCATGGGAAAGCAGGTGAGAGCTTGGGAATTTATTCTAATCACCATATTTTGATTCTGCTGTTCCTCACTCTCTCTTTTTTGAAATTTGGAATATCCTATTAATTTGTTTCTTTGTGGCTTTCAACAGAGGTACACTGGGAAGAAGACCTCTACCAGTGGCTTAGGTTCAACGGTGGACTGAAAGTTGGAGCCTTTCCAACTTTCATGCTTTTAGATTCTGGAAGGGAAGCGTTGTCAGTCACGTATATATGTTGGGGATTCTGCTTTAATTCGCTATGCATGGCCGACTTTGTACCAAAATTTATTTATATTTTCCTTTTTCTTTTTCTGTTAAGCTTTTTGCAATGTAATTACGGTTTTGGTCGTACAAATTTCAAAGTAAAGAAATCAATGGTTGCTTTCCCCTGCATCTTCTTTATATCCATTGGTTGACCATAGCATTTGAACTCTTAATCAAAAGACAACTTCCTTGTAATTCTCTAGCAAATGATTGGTTCCCCAAGGCGATCCTGTCAATAATATTGCTGGCCTATTTCTCCCATAATTTGCTTCCATAGTTGTTTGTTGACCTGGTATTGGCTTTGTTGGATGGGTATAAACTAGGGTAGGCCTATGTTACATTGCCGTTTGTCATCGACCAGCCACCAGGAATCTTTTAATCTTGATAGCTCGGTATTTTGAAGCTTAAATTATTGTCGATTATCAGGTTCCCCATGGTAGTTGTAAACTGAGTGCAGGGGCAGCCTTCGGGAAAATTGACCCAAGGATGATATGCCAGATGGATGCCTAATCATGCACAAACGTCTTGAAATAACAACTCTCCAACAACTGAACAAAGAGTAATCTCCATGAGTTTGTTGTTTGTACCTGACTTTTGATTAGTTTAGGGATAGAATATAACGATTTGAATATTAATATGAAGTTTTATAATAACATTTGTTCCTTAAACATGGCCAGCTAATTTGTTAAGGGCTTTGCGTCAGTCTCTTTCCCTCTCAAAAGGCATACATTAAAGCTCTCCCAACAACTGATCAAAAATTGAATCGGGGTTCCTTAGAAAAAATGGAAGGGAGAACCTTTGTCGTGATATTCTTCTTCTGGGCTGCTCTCACAGTTATCACCCCTACCCTTGTTCTCTGGTCAGAGTCCTCCAAACCCGAGTTGGAATTTAATGGTAAGAGCTGGAAACTCTTCTCCACTATTTTCTTTGTTTCCAACCGGGTTTTCACGTCTGATACTGCTTCTGGTTGAAGGATTGGCAGTTCTCCCTTCTTTTTTCGTTGATTGCTTTTGCTTTATATTTTGCAGGTCAGAAAAGCGAGGGAATAAAGGATAGAAAAATGATTGGATATGCAGTGAAACAAGTAAGCAATGCAACAAAATCTTCGACTCAGTTGGCGGCAGCAGCCACAACTGAGACCCAGAATTGGAGCTGGCTTCAGGAACTTGAAAGCTGTGTGAGCAAAGTTTTCCGAAAAGCAATGGGACTGCTCATCAGGGTCAGCTAAATCCAATGATAAACCTTCCAAGAAAGTGTAGGTTTGCGCATCCCACCTTTCCCTGATATTTGAAACAAAATCCTTTAATTCAAGAACTCAAGTTCATCAGGTTTAAGTTTGTCAAGTCGTTACTGAAAGAAAACATGTAAAAGAAGATGAGAAGGGCAAACTTGCAAATATCTTACCCTTGTATACGGAAAGCAACTGCACAAAAATTTACATATTTATTTATTTTCCCGAGAGCTTTTTATTTGTGGAAGTTGATTGGTAGAGGTAGATAACTTGATGATGAAAAACTGGGTAGAGTAGGTGAAGGATTTTCTCATGTTAGACTAGTTCAGACTTCTCAAGCAGCAGCCTGTCCTGGATATGACACAGTTCATTTTACCAGACTTTCAAAGACATACTGCACAATTAATGGTTTAAAAACAGGGGATGTTTGACAGCTTCATTTATAGGAGCTGCCGAGCTGATTTCATCCTAGTCCGAATTGTCCAAGTTTGCTAGAATAAGATTAGTTGGAGAAGTTGACGGATGATTCGTAAGTCCTAACTACTGATTCGAAATAAGTTCTCGGGATATATTTTGTTAATCAGAGACCATTGGGACCAGACGCTCTTTAATAATCAGGAATCTTCTTGTTGGAACAGGAGGTGCCATGGGATGAATTAACGTAGCTGCAAGTTTTGTCTTTCTTTCCATATTACGAGCAGCACTGGTTCTATTAATTATTGCACGAACGGATTCATTAAAAGAGTTGAGAATTGAGGATGAAAGTTAAGAAGGAGAGAAAAAGTACTACGAAAAGGGTAATCTTCATTACATAAACAAGTATGGCATTGTGTTGCCAAGCCATTACCTTCTCGCCACACCCTTACAAGCTTTCCAAGATCCCTTTTTTTGCCCGACCTGAGATTGAAACACCCTGTGTACTTCTTTCGAGGCACTTGCTGTGACAATTGCATGTTGTTGTATACAATGTGGGGTAGCTAGATTTGATTTATTAGATGCTTCGGTGTTATGTTTGACAATCTTTTTGGGGCGGGGAAGATAGATATTTCAATTGGGTTTCTTTAGCTTATTAAATTGGATTAAAGTACCTCTTCATAATGTATAAAATATTCCCTAAACCTCTTAAGACCATAAGGTTGCTGGCCTTAATCTGCTGTTTTTCCATTAGTGGTCAGCACGTTCACAGACATGTTAATCCTATTGAAACTTGAAAAAATGAAGAGAAGCGTGCGAAGTGGTTGGTTTGGCTTTGAGGAATCAGACCATCTGTTTCTATTTAGATAGATTCGGCTCCCACAAACGCTCCTTGAAGACCCAGTGTTAGAGATCTATTGCAGGACAATGAATGATGGTCCAACGCTCATTTTCCATTGCTCAAATGAATTACTCGCTTTTGAAGTCCTGGGTTAGATGCCAAAAGAAAGGGTAGCATTGTGTCATGAATCATGTTTTGGTTGAGTAGACCAACATAGGAGGGTAACACCCCTTCTGCATACTCAGGCAATTTAACAGTCCTGAGACTCAATGACTTTCTCTTCAAATTCAATGCTTATGGTGGAAATTATATAAGGAAGTAGACACAAGAGCTGCTTTTGGTTTTATAGAAAATTTAGAAGAGCAGCATGGTTCACAATCCGTGGAATGATAGTAGTAACAAGCTTATGAACAAACATACACACACTCTCCTCTAGTACTCTGCATAAATCTCCTTGGTAAACAGATTATTTTTAGTTTAATTAACAAGAAGAGCTATGGTTCAAGGTTCTTTTCTCAAACAAAACGACGAAGGTATTCTTCCACAGTGGTATATTTCACATCAGGGTACAGCTCAGAAGCCTCGAATCCAAACGATGATTCGATCTCAAAGTTGGTGTGATCGCCTTTCACAAAGATTGAGTGATTGATTGACAATACCACATTGATTGGAATTGGGGCCTCTGCGGGAATTGATGAATACCAAACAACACCAATTAACTGACATTGCCTATCACGTTTGAAAATGGAAAAACAATAACAAAAATAAGAGGACATTGCACCAACCTTGGATCTGTTTGAGGAGTTGGTCCTCCGGAACGTATGTTTTCTCAAGGGTTTTGCCAATCAATTTCTCCCACAGGGCAACGAGCTCGTTAAATGAGTATGTGTTTTTAGGAGGCCTAATGAAGAGGACCTTGTTCAATGTTCTGGGGTCATCAACAGCTTTGATGGTGAAGGTGCCGATGTCACCTTCATAGTTGAAAACAGCTGCAAGCAGAACAGGATGCAAATAGTGATTACACATGCTTTGTTTAATGTCTACAACTAACTAAGCCCTTCAAAACTTTCTGATAAAGTCCTCAGGATTTCTTTTATTTTCTTATTTCCAGGAACAGATGCTCTGTTTTCCTTTCCTTTTTTCAGCTCACTACGATCAATCCAAGGGTTATTTCTAGCAATGAAGTTAGCATAATTCACAAGCAATCAGCAGAGGTACTGCATATCAACCTTGTGTCTTGTGGGTTATTGAGGAGCTAATAAACACTATTTACCTTTAGCATTTCCATCCCCTAGGATAACGACCTTGTCTCTAGGGGGAGCAGTGGCTCCTGCCTGACACAAACTAGGAAGAAAATAGCCTGCAAAGCAGTTCGCTGGCACGTAAGTGTAAGGGATTCCTTCAGCCTCGATGGCACGGCGGATTTGAGCCTTGATTGCAAATGCTGATTTTGCTGGCTCAACGGCATGAACCCGGTCCGCGTCATTCCCAAATTCCGACGGGAGAAATCTCTGTCCAAATAAAAAGAAAACACCATTAGAATGGAGTACCAACAAAACTGCACTGTTGCTAGCTTTTTACTATTGTATGCTACCAGGGTGGGTGATTATCTACTCCATTGACAATTTGACAATCAATACCAGCACAAAGAGGGTTCATTCCACCAAAATAATGTATTAAAATGAATCACTATGCATACACTCTTGGTTTCAGCAATTTGCAGAATATTATACATCCCAATAATGTTCATCAATTAATTTGTTTAATAGGCAGAGTCAAAGATAAGTTTTTTCTTTTGAAAGGTAAATTTATTGATAAAATCTCTTAAAAGAGATAAACAAGTTGAACAGCTTTTAAACGAATCCTCACATGTAGTTTGATGTGTGAACAGGGAAAGTGTAACATTAGTGCATTTTGAGTCATAGATAAGGTAATTCTACATAATTACATGTAGTTGGATCCCATGAAAATGTATTAAAAACCAGACTTTAAGAATGTAAAATAACTAGAAAAAGAGAAAATGGAACAACATGAGCAAGCTGAGAAGCACCAACCTTCACATTCCCAGCTTCTTTGATGGCAGCAATGATCTTAACTTGATCTGCTATCTGCATGTGACCTACGGCTGATATCACCACATCGACTTGCTTTATTGCCTTAACCAAACTCTCGTGATCGTAAAGATCCCCCTGCATGAAAAAAACCATCAGAAAAGATCAAACACCAGAACATTCCACGGCCAGGAAATACACACAAGAACTAACATATATACTTACGTACAACAGTTGGACCCCTAAGGATTTGAAGTTGTCAATAAGTTTCCCCTTAACAGGATCAGAGACCGCACTCTTTCTTACTAAGGCAAAAGTGGGATGACCCTCTTTCGCACTGGCTTCAACAATGAACTTCCCGATGTACCCAGTGCCCCCAATGATCAAAACCTTGCTCTTTCCGGCCATTTCGAACAACTTTTCCCGGTACAGGAATGAGAAACAGCCTATGATAAATAAGCAGAGAAGGTTTTGGATTGCGTTTACCCGTAATGGAGCTTGACAGACTAAAATACAGCACTATTTATGGATGAAATGAAAGGGTCAGTGCAGTGGCGAGAATATCCTCGGGTGTGGCAACCCAAAGTCCTGCCGTTGGAAGAAATTCGGTTATTTAGACCAATTAAGCACCACAAATCATTCTCATAGCAGTTGAAATTGTTGGTCTGTCATGGGAAAAAAATCTTCATTTGGAAGCAAATGGGGAGGTTGAGCTGTATTTGTTATTGACACTCTTTTGGCTGAAAGGCCCCCATTATCCATGCGCTGGGTTAGGTGAACGCCGCGATTGACATCTCACTTAATTTATTATGTAGCTTCGAGAGCAAATACAAAAGGAAATGTAGCTTCAAAGAGAAACAAAAAGGAACTAAAAATATGTAAAATTGAACACTCTAGATACCGGATGAATGGCCCAAAATGCTGATGAAATTCATTGCCTATTTCAAGAATTGGTACATAGCCATATAAAGAAAACAATAAAAAGGAATAGATAACAGTCCTACTTATAAAACTACAAAAAAATTTAGAGAAAAAAAAAAAGCTTTATATTTGAACTGTGGTTAGTATATTAATATCTATACACTATCATTTAATCACAAAATATGACATCATAAATGTGTAATTAATGCTTAAATTTTGTATTTATAATCTAACTATCATTATATTCCATTTTTTAATGTAATTAAAAGAAGAGCTACCTAACCTAACCTTACAAGTTTTTGAAAAAAAGGACTAAGTCCAATTAACCAAGAATTCCTTATCATGTTAGGTGCCAAGAAGATGATATTTTGGCTTGGTTACTGCATACCACGAGAGATTAGATTCAAACAAAAGTTAAAGATACTCTTAATTTTATTATGAAAAAATAATGGATTTTATAAAAAAACAATAAAAATGTTGAAAAGGTTATTAGAGAAGATTGTATTAAGCTAAGAAGTAGACCCATGGTCACTGTTCTGGTCCATAGGGCTGACAACGAGTTCACCTCTCTTTGTTTCCATGATTGTATCATGCTGGCGTCCCAAGCGACCTTTTGAAGAAAGCTCGAAGCCATCTCGGCCAGAGCATGCGCAATGGCCCTACACTTGATACCCCTTGCGTTGGGCCCTAACCTTTAGATCCCTTCAGCAAAAGAAGGAGGGTAACAAAGTCAGCATGGGCCATAGCACTCATAGTTTATTTACTTTTATACTCTCGGTAATGAGGTTTCAGCTGATTATTGTCTGACAAGTGACGAGCTAAGACTCCACCATATTTGCTTAAGGCTTAAGAAATCATGATTAAGGGAAAACAGGGAGATACCTAGCAGTAGGAGATAGGCAGCGTAGGGGCCCAAAGGATGATTGATAACTTCCATGTTAATAGGGTGAAATTTCTTTTCACCTTCATAGCTGGTCTATCTTGGTGATGACATAAAAGATGTTTATGATGCGATTGAACAACCTTTGGGATTTCAACATTTTGATTTAGACCGCATAGTGATGATATGTTTCTTCAAGTAGAAAAAAAAATTGAGAACCTTACAGGTTTGATTTCAACATCATTTCATCCTTTTTCTCTTTGTTTTCTAGTTCTTGTTGGAATTCACTAGTGACAAATCAAATTTGGATTCGTTGAATGATGTTACAAATAAACAGAAAGCCCAGGCCTTAGGATGGACCTTGCGGAGCAGAGTCCTGTAATCTGGTTAGTGTCTTTTTTAATTATGTTTCCAAGTTGCTGAGCAATTGACAGCAACACAAATGGCAGTTGGAACCATACTCTGGGACGAAGAGATTGTTAAGAGATGGATGAATCAGTCAGACACAGAAACAAATCCACAACACAAAATATTACCAACAGATAGCTAAATCCAATATCAGTGATCATTCCCAGAAGAAAATCCACAGCTGATTCTTGCCAGATGTAAGTCGTTCTATTTACTTTGATTGTTACTTATACATTGATGCACGACCTACTGCACATTACAGTGAAAAACAATGAAATCAGACAAGATTTCGCATAATTCTTCTTGTTTTAGAAACAATTCATCACTAGAAGAAAACCTTGTTATACAAATCTCTATACAGTACAGAAAGCTTAGGAAATATCAAGTGGCCAAAAGACTAGGAACAGATTCATCCCTCTGAAAATATACTTCTACATTTAGTACTACTATGTACAGACTCCAGACCAGGACACACTGAAACACACACACACACACACACACACACCCCAGCACATGATAGGGTAAGGTTCTTAGTATACAGATTAGGTAGTCAAATACGCCCACACAAGATAGGATTAGGAGCTAAAGATTAAGTACTGATTCCAGCATTTGTGTTAAGCTTCGAAGCTGCAAGGCTGGCAATGTGGAACTGTGATGTGTAACTGTTGGTAGGGCGTTCCAGAACAGGAGGTTCATTCAGGAATGCCCAGTTGCTCCTTGTCCACCTGCAATCGTCCACAGTAAAATTATAGAATGTTAGTATATTAATAAAAAATTCTTAACTTAAAGCTTTCTGGTAGTAACGAGACCAAGATTTAGATTTAGCTACTCACCAGCCACTTTTCTTTATGATATTCTCCAGGCTTGTTTCTGTGTCGGTATCCAGGAAACCCTGTTTTGTATTGGGCAAAGGCATGGAGCTTGATCTCATATACTGTCTTCCATACTTCTCAAATGGAGTTTCCTGTCATAGATGTCATCATAAGGTACTAGTTCAGTACCATATTTTCCATGTCTAATATTCAAAAACATGAGTAAAAAATGGGGCTAGGCTTCAATTAACAGGAAAATCTTTTATACAAAACTGTACCAGCTGGCTGTAGCTATCCGATGGACTAGATATAGCCTTAAGATGCTCTTCCTCCGTTTTCTTCTTTGATCTCCAGTAAGCATCAATCTCTTCCTTGGTAAGTGATCGGTTTCTTTTGCGTATTACTGAAATATTTTCACACAACCAGAAATTAGACAACAGGGTTAAGTGGAAAGCAGAACACCATGGAAACACTATGCCAGATAAAATAAACCAGATAAAAGTTTCACTGAAGTCACCTGCTTTAGGATCTGATACAGGAGAGTCCCATCCTGCCATTAGAGAACCCATTTTGCTGATGATCTTTCGCTTGCTTGAACCAAAACAAAGTACTATGTATCCTACCAAATATCTCGAGGAAGCCTTTTATGTAGGTGGTGGGGCCTTATCTTTTCCTTTGTTTTCTGTCGGGAAGTCTGCCTTTTTACTCGTTCTTATCCTCAAGACCATGTTTTTTCCTGTAGTAATGGAGACAGCGGCCAATTTATTGAAGTGGCGACAAAAATGATCTAGTCTTTTGATTGTGATAATCTCCACTAACTCTTGTAAATGAATACTCTAGTCGTTAGCTGCCCACAGACTCCGCGGAAAGACCAGGGCGATTCAGAAAAGTTGTGGGCTTGATGCACGCGTTTTGATCTTATTTGTCTGTGGCATTCTTATCTCGCCTTTGAAGTGTTCAACTCCAAACTATTGACATTCCATATCCATTAATATACCAGTTCCTAAGCCGAGATCCGTGGAGTCAGAAGGATAAACTATAAACAAGCGGTTCATCGTGTTTGTATACAGTCAGCAAATTTAGCTGGGAGTCCGAGGTTAATGTCCAATCGTCCCATATATGTCAGGTTCTTTTGATGACTTATCTAACTTATATCTATATATAGTAAGATTTCGTCATGTATATTTTAAACTATCTTGTAATACTATCTATTATATATTTTAAAAAAAAAAAAACTCCAAAGGGCTTCTCCATTTTACCACATCTTAACTTAGAAAGTGACCACATCTGCATGTTTTGCTTTTCCATGTTTTGACAGGTGGAGTCTTGAGGACGGAGTTGGGGATTAGGTTGGAGGCTGACATGTGATAAGTTGGGTCAAAGGAGTTTAATAGTTGAGGTGTAGAGACTAGAAAGGAGTAAGGATAAAGTGGAAATAAAAAGAAGAACAAGAAAAAAATTTTTGATAAAAAAATTGGATGAAAAAAATCAGATTTGATAAAAAAGGAATCGGTAAAGAAAAGGGTAAAAAATAAGAGATGGGGATCCGTACGTACATTAGATAAAGATGAGTCTGGGTTGAGAGGGAGATGTGGGAGGAAAAAAATAAAAATAAAAAACAAAAGAAAAAATTGAGAGAAAAGAATGGGTAGTTTTTTTAATTTAATTTTTAATTGAGAAAAAATTGAGATTCAGTTTTTTGTAGTTTTTCTTTTTTTTTTTTTATTTTTTGTAATTATTTTTTAATATTTAATTTTTTATTTATTACTTTTATAATATTATCTTTGTTATAAATTTTTTTATTACAATGTAAGAAATAATAAAAAAAGTCATAACAATGCATTAAGATCAAACAAATTCTAATTTAATAAATAAATTCATTTTAAATAAGTTTAATACATCATCACAATATAGTTTGATTTTTAAAAGCCTTTCTTTACACATTGCAATGTAATTTGTAAATAATATTTTGATTATTTTTTATTTTTAATAATTATCTTTATTAATATAAATTAATTTCATATTTTATTCTTATATAAAAAAATTGTACCCAACGCGTAGCATGGGTTATACTCTAGTTTATCTTAATAGTACCTGCTATCTTGGCTATTGTAATAAAATAATAAAGAAATGGAAATGTTTTCTTAATGGATGCTTCATTGATCTTACCAACGTTATTCTTCTTCATGAATGATACAAGGGAAAATCACAGTATTTTTAAAACAATAAATAAATGAACGAATCACTGGTTACATAAACAAATTTTCTAACAGGTTCATGAAAGTAGGAGAACAACATATTCCTTTTGTTCTTAATCAGGCATGTTGAGTGGAATTGTTAGAAATGGCAGATGAAGCTTTCTTGAAACGGGTTGGGGTAGACCTGATCCAACTCTTGCCACCAATCATGTTCTTTGTCAAGAACAGCTCGGCCTCTTGGCTCGTCAGGTTTTGTGACCATTCAACCCTTTTCTTTGTATTGGCTCCAGGTCCGTAACATTTGTATTCTCCGTAGAACACCGTGCTGTGGAATGAAGAAACCAGAAGGAAAGATAGTCAACCATTTGTTCGATTTCAAATTTTTACAGTAATAATGAAAGAAAAGAACAGATTGTTCTTGTTTAATTTTGTTAAAATTATCGTTACCTTTGCTTGGCAAAGTCTCCCCAGTCATCCCATCCCTGGGGCAGTATCACATTAGACATATAGGTTAGGGCAAAGACGACCCTGGAATATGGACCCCATGGCCTTCCAAGTACAGCAGTCCTGACGCCCGTGACCTTGCAACCCAAGAAGGTAAACCCTGTCTGCTCTGAAGGGGACTCCCTTCGTTGGGCTGTGATAGCCGCATCTCCTACTGAGAGTGAATGCAAATGGCACCTCTGAAAACAAAAATCGCAAGAGAATCCCTTATGTAAAATGGTCGCTGAGACAGGCTAGCAAGCTATAGGAATATTGGCAAGTAACAGATTCCTGAACGATTTACCTCAAAAAGTGACGCGGCATTCCCACAAATGAAGTCAACGGCTCCTTCAATGTAACAATGGCTGTAATAGTGTCTTCCAGTGTCATCAAGCAACGTATCCTGATAAGATAAAATCCTGCACCCAAAGAAAGCTGCCCTATCTCCAGACACCCTTAATGCAACTGCTTTAGTACCAGGTCCGAATGTATTCTATTTATGAAAAATAACACAAAAAAGGCCGGTTAACTAGTGGTATTACAAGTGAATATGTAATATGAAAATTTAACATTCAATGACGTTAGGGATCTTCTATATACCTGAATTGTAAGGTATCGGCCAACAAAATCTGAGGCCAGCACAGTGAAGGTAGGAGATTCAAATATATCCCCACTATCATTCCAAGTTATTATCGTTGCATTTGCCTCTGAACCACTTATTGTAATGAAAGGCTTATCGGCTGGCACAACAACCTTTTCTTTGTAGATGCCGGGCTTAACCAATATGAATATAAGTTCTTTGTTGTTTGACGGCACGGCGTTAATGGCGTCTTGTATCGTCCGGTAGTCTCCCTTACCTGATTGGTCAACGCTTATAAGTAAGGCTGTGGAAGTTTCAGCAGCATCTGCTCGAGGATGACTAGCCATGAACAAGAATAAAGTCATGACAAAGATGCAAGCGTAGCTAGAATAATCGAGAGCCATTGTTAGGAAATTTGGAACGAAAGCTAGATAGTTTATCTTGAGGTTTGTTTATCGATCAAGGTGATGAAGTAAATCAACGAAATGAACTACACTAAGACTGGTTTATGAACAGAGTATGGTGGACATTGTTCTTTATACATACCAGGTGGCCGTTTTCTTGCCATGGAAGTGTGACAGACATCAGTTTCAAGCAAGCGTGTGTGTACGTTAGATCAGAAAAGGCTAGGGTAGCCCCAAACACAAGTAGCCGGCAAATAGAAATTTAGGAGGAGCTCGATAGGCCATGGCCGCCCTTTGATTTTGTTCCATTCTTCTACTTGATTTTACCTTATAATGATTCATAATTCGTTTTAAGTAATTACAAAGTTTATGTTTCATTTGTTTATTTTAGCCCAACTTGAAAGGAATTGATAGTTTCGGCTGCTTGAGATAAACGTTACAGATGTTAATTGGGAAAATGAGTGGGATTCAGCTCAGCTAAATCCCAATAATAATATAGCAATATCCATGTTGCAGAAGTCATGAGATAGCTTTGAAACTACCCTTATCAGGTACTTTCTGGTTCAAATTCTTTGTTTCTGTCACTTTACGATAACCCGGTGGATGCACCCTTTGTTTGAATGGTTAAGTTGACCATGGCTCCGCCGGTTTCTTCCGCCACTAATTGGTGTTGGAGTATGTCCAAATTGCCCCTCTGACCCTTTCCAGGCTTGGGCTCTATTTATATTTTCCTACTTTTGTCTCAAGCCAGTGGTTTAGGTCCAATATAAGAATGGACTGAAAAGGAATCCAGAGTCCTAGCTCAATTAGTTAGTGACGAATATCAGATCTTGACCATGCTCAGGCCCAATCTTCAATCCATGGACTTTTACATGTACAGGGAAAACGAAGTTTTCCATTTGTTTTCCATTGGCTACAAGGCGGTTTTGTCACTTTTGTTTAGCTTGAGTCTTGGGGTTTTGCTTTTGCTTTCTCACCGACCTTGCCTAAATCCTGTGCAAATTCCCATCTGAATTTAGTCAGAAGTGCCTCAGTGGATGATATTGAAGCAAGAAAATCAAACCATTAATTAGAATCTAAAGGAATAAAAAGAATGACATGACAAAAAGTTCAGGGGAAAGAACAAAAGTGGGTTTACTTTCTCCTTTGTTTTTTATCACCAAGAAGGAAAAAAGGCTCCAGCTTGAGCCAAAACCTCACTTACCTACTCATCATTGGTGTATGCATGGTCTCATGACTGTTAATAATTAGTGACCTTCACGAGCTCTTGATGGCTCCTTAAACCAGTGTAGTCTTGTTGAAGAATCTGTGTCCCTTCCTCGTTTCATCATTGCAAAGAGCTTCAAATTTCTCACTCTTTTTAAAGAAAAAAGAAAGAAATTAATACATCGAATAAATTTAACATAAAATTAGATCAAACCCACGATTAATAAAGACTTTCTCTCTTTTAAGTGGTGAGTTTACAGTGCAGTTTTTGGACAGAAAGTGAATACTTTTCAAAGCTGATTCCACTCAACTATCTGGCCTGCAGCAACCAGTATGACCTACCCAACCTGGTTTCTTGAATGCCACTGAATTCAACCCATCAAAATTCAACTCCAGTTATTCTCAAATGGGTAGCTTTCAGCAGGGAAGCCATATAAATTTATGTGGGCTACCAAACAGAGTAAACCAGTTATTCATGTCATCAAAGACGTTGGGTGAGTAGGGACTGAAATTTGTCAGGTTTAGCTGGCATGTACTCTGAATTAATTTCTGGCATCCATACTCATCATCAAATCAAGAACAAAACTCTTTTTTCGATGGGAGCTAGCCTATAGTTCCCTAACACCAAACCTTATCCAGGTCGAATATGCCGATCAAGTTCATGTCGATGCACCACCCACATATTTTGTCCTTGTGGGCATCTCCTACCAGTTGGCAAACTTCCAACTGCAACAACATGATTTCAAAGCCAAATTGGCAATGCCACAGTGCCATACATGGAAAAGAAAAGAAGAAGAAAAGGGCTCCACATTTCACTTCCCTAAGGATAATAGGTCTTAAAAGACACAATCAATAGCTTGCTTTGCTTCTACTTGACCTCATTCTTAGCTTTGGCTGCATTTATTTGTTTTGGTATGACAAAAAAGTAGAAGAATTCATAACTAAAGCAAACAGGTTCCCTTTCTTTTTTTCTTCTTCTTCTTGTATGGTACAAACAGACAGGCACCTAACTTAGCACTTCAATTTTCTCGAACCAATTTGATTCATGCAGCTCATTGTAGTTGTCGAGCCAAGACTCACTCGCCTTGTCATTGTTATTCTAAGGGCTTGTATCTGAGCTGGAGAACCATTTTTCAGGTACGAATTAAATTCCATCAGATCATGCAGGATTTAGTGGCAGTCTGTAGCCAGCAGCCACCAACAACATAAACCCCACTAGACTCATGTATTGCTTGTACATTTCCTTTGATATTAGCAAAGAAATCCCCAAAAACAAAAAATCCCATGGAAGAGAACACTAACTACTATTTAAAATCACTAGCAGCAGTCTCAGTAGTCTGGTCGAGGTCTCCTCCATTGCATCTAGGTTTCGCCAGTTGGAGAGTGGACCCTAATGTTTGGATGGTCTGTTTCGAAAGCCACAGCTAATATCAAGTCCAAATAATTGATTTCTGCTTGACAAAAAAAGAAAAAGAAAAAGAAATTTAACTCAGCAACAAAATGGTTTTTCTTTTGTGCAGAAAAGGGTAAAGGCCATCCTTTGCTATAATTCAAGCATGCTTTGACAGAATGAATCATCATTCCCTTGTATCTTGGTATAGCTTTTGGAGTGAAGAATACAGCGGATGGAGGGGACAGTAATCATACAATTTGTTCATGCTGCCTATCTTTATATACTTCTGCTATAATAATATAGCAATAAATATTCTTGTGGGTCTGTTTAAACATTTTCTTTTTCGGGTAGAAATGATGTAAAACAGTCAAGGTTTTAAACCCACGGAAGAAGTACATTGAGGCTCCTGCATAAGCTTTTCTTTTTCCTGATGGAAACTGAACTGATTAAGTTTAGTTCGCATGGATTTTCCCACAATTAACCTGCCACTTTCTCACAGAATTATGACAGGATTAGATGCTCCACTCTCTGCCACTTCTGCAGATTAGAGATAAGCTATCATTATTAAGAAAAGCTCCCATTAGCTCTCTCTCTCTCTCTAGTAAGCCCCACGTATTGAAATCAATGGTTCAGGTCCCTGAGAAACAAGACCCTTTGATTATTGACCGAGACAAAAATGACTAATGATTGAACTATGTGCCTGTGGCACGTGCAAGTGTGAGGCCTCTTTCGTTTCAACTTTCACCATAACTTATCCTTCATCTGACACCGACTCGGTTGTCAAGAGTCTTGGGGGCTCGGGCTCGTCCCCTTCCGCATGCTCTACGAATCTAGAGGACCTGGCTACGATCCACTCGTGCGGGGGAAATAAGTAACTACAGCCCACCGATCTCGGTTGTTGCATACATGCAGCTTCCAGGAGTGACTTAAAAGAGCCCCTCTCCTAAGTCTCCGATCTCTGGTCATTGGTCATGTCAACCTTGACAGTGGCCTTGGATCAACCAAGTATAATACATCTCCATTTGTCTCTAAAACTCTTCAATGAACAGCAAAAACATCGAATACAAAAGCCCATAGTCTTGTTCACATCACTTCTCATGTTCGCATGAATTTTCTTCTTTCTTTTCTTTCTTTGAGTTGTCTCCATGAAAGGTGGGGAATGTAACAGTGTTTTGAAGTACACTTAATCATTTGTGTTAATGAGTCTTTATCGTGTTGTATTTAATTACAATATTAATCTTCATATAAATAAATAGATCAAGATTTAAAATACATACAAAAACATGTTTATTATTTTTTTATATAATATAATGTGATTAACATGTTTTTTAAAATAATTAAATTAATTTTACACGGCATTATAAAATTATAACATAATAATCTTAATTTTCTCATTATTAATATAGTTACACGTATCAACAAGTTTAATATACAAAATTATATACCTTGTGAATCTCAAAGACCTATTTGGGGATAAGCCAGTATTTACTTTACTAATTACCAATTGGTATTAATAAACGAAATCTTTTTGAAGATTGAAATATTCTTTGATGCCAAGGAATCACGAGGGGCTCCTTGATGCCAGAGAGTCTCGTGATTATAACATCTAGTTATTATTTTTCTTTAAAATTATTAAATAAAAAAAAATTTTAATTTAAATACAAGTAAAAAAGAGGATTTTAATCATACTAATTAAACACAATAAAGTAACCATAACAGTTATTTTTATTGAAAACTATACATTAAAATTAAATGTAATGTGTGTAAAAGAATATTAAAAACATTTTCAAAGAATTTAATTTGGCCATATTTTTATTTTATGTACATGATTATCGTCATTTATTATAATAATAATGAAGTAGATTAATCAGGCAAAATCAAACTGAAAGGGGGCCCAATGCCTCTTTGGTCTGCCACGCGTCCCCGAGCGCAATTACCTTCTAACTCTGAAAACAGACACAAAAAACCCGCCAATTAAATTAACGGACAAAATTGAAAACTAAAAAAAAAAAGAACCGTTTTTTCCGAAAATTACAAGTTGTTTAAATTAGAAGATGAGGGAGAAGAATCAAAAGCAGAAAGGAAGAGAGCTTTCATTGTGTGGGAGCCGCTGGTGCAGCGCAGCTTTGAGGCGGTGGCAGCGACGGAGAGAGGCGGAGAGAGAGAGAGAGAGAAAATAAATAAACGAACAAACCGCCGGCGATGAAGGTTTTGAAGCAAACGGTTGACAGTTTCTAGGTTTCTAATCCCATTAGATCCTCTCTCTTTCTTTCTCTCTCTCTCTTCCTCTCTTTCGTTGGAGATTGAGTACATTCTCCATTGTTGCCTCTCCTCTTCTTTCCACGATCCATTGTTTCTTCGATCCTCTCTCACTCTCTCTCCATTTCGTGTTTTTCCTATGAATTTGTCTCTCCTTTCTGGGAATTGCT